ATGTTTGGGATGCTCTGGATCGGCGTATACGACAGCGTGTTCCAGTTCCTGCCAATATCCAGCAACTTCGCACAGCCATTGAAGAGGAGTGGACCAACATTCCACAGGCCACAATCAACAACCTGATCAACTCTATGCAAAGGAGATGGGTGACATGTTAGGGTTAGGGTTTAACCCTAGGGTTTTCGGACCCCCCCAGACCCCCCCAATAAAGCAAAACTGCACGTTTCAGAGTGGCCTTTTATTGTGGCCAGCCTAAGGCACACCTGTGCAATAATCATGCTGTCTAATCAGCATCTTGATATGCCACACCTGTGAGGTGGGATGGATTATCTCTGCAAAGGAGAAGTGCTCACTATCACAGATTCTTTCAGATTTGTGAACAATATTTGAGATAAATGGTTATTTTGTGTATATAGAAAATGTTTTAGATCTTTGAGTTCATCTCATGAAAAATGGGAGCAAAAACAAAAGTGTTGCATTTATATTTTTGTTCAGTGTATTTTCTCCACTGATGATAATTGCAAAACAAAAGGGCTTATTACTGTTCATACAAACATACAGTAAGTGATGAAGAAGAAAGTAGTGCTGAAACTAATCTGCATATAATTTTTCTCGGACTAATTATCTGTGCCATAAAATGGCAATAACGTTTTTTTTTGTCCAACCCTTAGTCCAAAAGTGAAAGATATTCAGTTGGCTATCATATAGGACTAAGCAAATTATCACCATTGAGAAGCAGGTACCTTTGTATTCAATCAATTCATCAGCTTATGGTTTCAGCTCTAAAACAAACCCCAAAAAAATCAGAAAACATTTATAACAGATTTTAAATCATGGATTGTCTAGTTTCGGCCCTCGTGGTGAAACTGTCCTGCACAACAAACACACTGTGAGTCCCATGAGTCCACATTTAGTTTTGGGAACTCAAAAGGGTAAAAACACAACTGTAATACTACTTGATGCCACTGTGAAGGATGTGTTTGTGTGAAAATTCTTTTGTAGGAATTCAGTTTTTACAATTTCAAACCCACCTTCCAGTTGTTGCTGTTATCTTTTTTGACCCTTAGTTCATATTTGATAGTGACCCAACCGGATTTGGTGTCTGTGTTAGAGGGAGGCATCCATCTGACGTGGAGAGATGGACTGGCCTCTCTCTCTTCTACCCGCAGCGTTACATTTCCAGGAACATCGGGCTTCACTGTCGAGACAGAACAATAGTCTGAGCCCAGAGTCATACAAGAAATGCTGTGCGCTAAATGATTAAGCCAACATGCTAATATATTCAAAACAACAATACAAAAATTACTTAAAAATAAAATAGATCCTGTCAGTCATTGTAAAGAGAAAACATCCCGGAAATAATTTAAAACAATATAACCAACGTATTGGACAAATACAACTGTTTATCTGACGAGAATTTGAGTGATCACAAAATAAGATCAGCATTCCTCCTGAGAGGGACATTTTGTGTGTACCAAGTTTTATATCAATCCATCCAATATTTGTTGAAATATTTCAGTGGATAAGTGGAAACTGACATATAGCAGTGGGCTATAGAAAGGTACATTTCATGTCAATCCATGTAAGTTAAGATCCCTCAGACAAAATCTAATTAAGTTGATTCATTATTTTCCTGCATGCAACGTGTTCCTGCTCCACATGTACAGTAGTAAGGAGACCACATTCAAACACCAATCTAAAGCTGTGAAATCTGATCCTGGACTGTACACAAGTTTCACACCAGTCCCAAACCAGTTCCTCCTCATTCTGTTCAGGCTTTCTTCTGTGCCTCTTTTCCGTCTGTCAGTTATTTTCCATTCTTCTAAACTCAATAAGGCTGCACAGCCAATAAAACTGATTAGCTGAATCAATACAGATCATTTTCTGCTGCTTGCTGTCTTCTACTCTAAGGAATACACAGATCGAGGGGCTGTCAATAGGTCAAAGGGTATCGCTTCAAGTGTGACACCAGTGAGCAAGGAAGATATTCTATAAATATGCTGGATTATAAATAATTCAATACTCTAATATAATTGAATGAGTAATTAAACATGTTTTAACTTCATTTAATTTAGTCAGTGGCAGAAAACCTCAACTATTTCCTTTGTGGTTCGTTGTTGTCAAGCAACAGACCATAAAGGAATGTGACCATTGATAAAGACATTATAGTAAGTAGTTCAGTGAAGAGCCAAATCCACAGGAATTATATTCCACAGTCCAAGGTCCAGAAATAACACTATAAGGATCAGATTTTCAAAACAAATTCATTCTTCATTAGTTACTGTGTTTGTCTACATTTTGGTTTTCCTGCATGGTATCATTGTCTTTACTTAAATAAGGATGATGTTCATATCTTTATTTTTACTTATTTTTGGTAGAAACATACCGATTTCCATCACATCCATCTTGAAGGGGTCTGAAGTGGCATTCCCGAGGGCATTGGAGGCCATTACAGTCAGGTAGTAGTCAACCCAGATGGAGGTGTGGTTCTTGTCAAAGAAGCAGGAGTTCCTCCCAGCTGACAGATAGTCCGGACACTCGTACGTCCCCTCCAATCTGTACGTAGACAAATAAACCATTCAGTGACCAGTGAACACTGCTCAGGGCATTCTGCTGACAGGAAAGCAAGTCAGCATCGTAAAACTGTGCTGTGGGCAGTAAATACATGTTGACACTCAATAAACAAGTACAAGGCTGGACTTGATGTCTACACAGTCTGTTCATAACCACTACAACATCATCCTTAATGTCATAATTTTTGTCATTAAAAACAATGCCATGTATTGTGGCCTTTTTTAAGATTGGAATTAGGCAAATATACATGGTAACATCAATTAACTAACATGCTGATGACAAGCACTAAACACAAGCTACAGCTGAGGGTGAGTATTGAAGTTATTCGGGCATTAACCGAAGTATTGGTTAACATCAATAGCATTGGGGATCCCTAGTAAGGATTCATCCTCAGGGGACCTTGACTGTCTGTATAACGTTTTATGGCAATCCTTACAGTAGTTGTCGAGATATTTCGAACCAAACTAGTGGACCTAAAAATTGATGCTGCCAACATTTGAAAAATGTTTAACCAGCAGCTTTTTTACATTTTCTCAGGCCAGGACGAGTGAGGGTCACACAGGTGAAACCTTTTGGAGTCTACTTGCACAGCAACAAAGATTCGTGCCCAGCTGACCGAGCACTACTGTGTCCGCAAGAGAGCCGGTAGTTTTCCACTTGCCTGTCTCCATCACTACAACTCAACAACAGAAGCTTCACTTTCACTGGTGTGGGTGATAAACTCCTTGGTCTTTATGGGACTTATTGGGGTCAAAACATACCGTGAGTACTGGTTTGATGTTTTGTTTTGGATCATTCACCTCGATCTCACCTTTCCTACAACTTTTACTGTGACCTGTTGAATCCATGCACAATTCTCAAATTCCCAGTACATTTTAAACAAAGCTAATTGGACTGACCTTTCTCTCTCGTAATACAGGTGATGGGTGGTGGGCAGCCCCCCGTCAGAGCCTGGCTCCCACCAGCAGGTGAACGTCTCCTTCTCTGGGGACCTGCAGCTGAGCAGGACCGGTTCCCCTGGTGCAGACATGCCTGGCAACACAAGAGACAAACAAACCTCAGCGCGTAAATCCAAACTCAGTAGCAGTAATATATGAAACAACAGAAACGTATTTAAAATGACAATTTAATGGGTTGTTTGGAACCTTTGTTTAATGAAACTGCACACGTTTTTGAAATATGTACATCTAAGATTTCTTCATCCAACCAACAACCCTGGAAGATTGGATTTGTTTCGACACAGTATTGAATAAGTTGTTCTTGTTCTCTTGTGACATCTATTTTGTATAAAGCATTTTGCCAGCATGGTGGATAATCTAGAGAAGATACTGTGAGCAGCATCCAGGTTATTAACATAGTTTGGTTTAATTTATTTTATAGAATAAAATTATCTTAGGTACTTTTCTTTCAGCAGTAATGGAACAATTTGTAATGCTGTGGGCACTGAACAAATATCAGAGGTAGATCTCGAAACTTATCCAAATAAATCCAAAATCTGTTTGTCTAGTTAGATACAGTATATATATAATATATATAGATATTATTTGGAGGAAAGTATTTTTTATTTTTTTTGTAAACAGACCCACAACTAACAAAACAACTAACCAAACAACTAACCAAAAACAACTAACTAAAGAGCCTTTCCACTTACTGCTGGACTGCACAGCTGCAGTCAGCAGCAGGAGCAGTGCCCCCCGAAGATCTCTCCTCATCCTGGCACAAACCGTCACACTGCTTGGTCCGAAACAGGAAGTGACATTACCAACAAGCGGTTAATGATGCGATATAAACCCGTGGCTTGGCTGCGTGCCTTGTTTTGACCTAAAACAAGGAGATATAAAGGGAAAACAACGAGGAGAAGCCATAATTGTTTGTACATGTTGTAGCCAATACATAAAGGCCCTCACCAGATGCAATCATAACATGATATACTAATATACTACAGTATGAAGAAATATGTGAGAATCAACACGACAGTATAATTTCAACTCTTTCATCGAGGGGATCTGCAACATTACCCAAAAAAAGCTTATAGAGTTGTGAAGGCGAGACTGGTTTCAAATATCGATTTACCAGAATTAACTCCAAATAGGATTCAACTATAACCTGGTTGTATTGTGTTAAATTAGTCAAACAAAACAGTTTATATATAATACGCAGAAATATAATTTACAACTATTTCACAACTTACAGTTTTTGGTTTTTTAGCTCATCTCACTCATTGGTGTAATAGTGAACATTAGAAATAGCTGCAATGGACTTTAGACCACTTTTATGCACTTCCCTATTTCATAAAGCTCAAACGCACACATACAAACACACACACACACACACACACACACACACACACACACACACACACACACACACACACACACACACAAATACACACACACACACACACACACACACACACACACACACACACACACACACACACACACACACACACACACACACACACACACACACACACACACACACACACACACAGAGACGGGCATATGTGACAGCCCACTTCCTGCTGTTTTTGGACTTGTTAAACATGTTCTGAGGTAGCCTGATTTATGCTCCCTGGATCAGACTGCCTGATCTTTTTAACAACACTGAACTGCTTGATGCAATTATTCACCTGAACAGGTGTGGGAAAGCTTCCTCCAGCATGTCATTTACAGGATGCCACAATGGTAGGAGGTTACACCTTTGTAATTATGTTTTTCTTGTTTTTTATACAATAACCTCAGTGAAAAATAGTTCAGTTTCATGAGTTTGAACAAAATTGCTTGAGCAAGGCGGGCTACAGGAGGCATTTCTTTCAGTTCTGACAGAAGACAAGCAGAGATTGACATTTTAAAAATAATAAGCTAAATATTCAGCATTAAACTTGAATTTAGCAGTTTGTCTGTGGTATTATGAATGTTACATGCACATGGCAGCCATTCTTACAAATGATCAAATCATATATAAATGCATCACAATTTATCTTTGCATTCATATATCAGACACAAGTTTAAATCCTCAATTTTTCTGTGCCAAGACAACAAATAATAATATCAGGATTAGCTTGGAATTTAAGATTTGAATTTCTATATCTACACTGTAGCTACTGTGCATGTGACAATAATGCCTTAAATGGAAGGATGCTTCAGTGCCCCACCATAATGTAAGTATTACTTTAGACAACAAGCCACGGAGATTAAGAACACAAAAAGCAACTGTGATAATATAGCCTATCCTTAAATAATCAAATAAAGAAATGCTCTCTTCAGTTTAATCATACAGTGTTTCGTTTTTGTTATAGGCCCAGTTATCAAAATAATAAATCAATACACAGCAATCAAATGTGTCATTGGCCTATGTGATCACAGAATATGTGAAAATAACAGGCCTTTACACTGCTTTTAATAGAAACTGACAACTACACACTAAGCTACTCGAAGGTAATAATAAGTATGTTTAATGCATATTATTACATACAGCACACAAACTCAATGAACATTATTAAATCTGTTTACTTACCTCTTCAGGGCGGGTTTTGTAACATAAAACTGGTGTTGACACATCGAGAAGCCTTCTTCAGTTTTACATTACATGGACGATCTCTTCACACCTGACAACCGGTGTGTCCGGCACCTCAGGTATGAAATTAGTTTGGGGAGGAGGTGTCCTGTGAGACATGGAAGGGGAGGGGCTTGTTGTCGCCACAAATTGCCCAGCTGATCTGAGTACAGTACATGTGACCACTACAAACATTGAATTACAGCCAAAGAGTGCAGATACCACAAGATGTCGGTGTTTCAATATTGGCTTTATTTTACTCAACATGTTCTTTGGGAAATGTATCTTGATGTATCTTCCCAAGATAGCAGCCTTTTGCATACTCTTGGGCAACACAAAATCCAACCTGCAAATATACTTCATCTTGATGCATACACACTCTTCGGCAGGAGAAGCGCGCAGCTGCGTGGGGGAAAAACCAAAACGGCGCAGTAGGAGGGTCTGTATCACTTTTACAATTTCTTTCAGGAAGTCAACTTTTTTTGGTCGTGAAGTGAAGTGTTGTCAGGTGTAACACTAGTGTCTTCAGTCTAATTAGCGTTGATGGTAAACTTTTCTTGCCTGGCTCCATCATGTCGGACTCTTCTTTGGAGCGGTCCACGAAGATCAACTTGTTGAAGGAGCCGGCGGTGAAGAAGCTCTGCGATGTGTTGGACAAATCCAGCAAGAAAGGATGGCGAAAACTTGGAGAGATAGTCGGCAATGACAGACGGTTCAGAGTCAGGTAGGCTGAAATTAATACATTAAGAATTGACATGGTTAACCGATTAAAATCACAAAGATATTGTTGTTCAATCCAAGTGTGTCTGACTCCAAGCGTTGCAGGCTGTATTATGGTATGATATGAAATGTTTATTTTTCTCATATGAATTTACCTGGTTACTATAATAGCATTGTACTTTATTTATTTGATTTTCTACACATTTAGTATTAAAGTGCCCAACTGTGCGTTATAAGCAAGTAGATAGTACTAGCCTACATATGCAAGGTGTAGGATTGTTATGGTGAAAAACGTAAAAGACACAAAGGACATTAATTTTAATAATGCGTAACTCCTATAGATGGTTATGTGTCCACATCCTGTAAATGAACACATAGTTACATACAATAAGATTCTGTGCATAAAGTCTAAATCTTTTTTTTTTTTTACTGTTTGTATTATAGGTTTATTGTCACATAATATGACATATTGAGACAAAGACACATTTTACACCGAAAATGATGTAAACAAGCATTTTCAACAGCATCAGAATATATAATAACCTATTTTTTGGTGTCTTTTTAGAAAACAATTTAGGATTAAAATAAGTTTCCAGCTCTGTGTTTGGATTTGGAATATCTGTGCTGAAGCTGAAACCTTGTTCTTACATTTAGATCATAGTTGAATATTTGGACGTGGTCAAAAGAATTGCACCATGTAGATTTAACGTTATCTACTATTACTGTCCCCTATGCGGTGTTATTGCTGTTCAGCTATTGCCTGTTTATTTTGAATATGTCTATGTTTCATTAATTATCCTATATAAATCAGAGGGAAATTCCTTGTATGTGTCGACATACTTGGTTAAAAAATGTGATTGTTATTTCTAAAATATGACGACCTGTCCTCCTCTTGCTTCTTTCTCCAGCTCAGACGACATGGAGATGTGCTCTCTGAAGGTGCTGGAGCTGGAGGGAAGCCCGAGCCGAATGCTGCTGAGGCTAATGGGAGAACGAGGCTGCACCACGGGTCAGCTGGCCGACTACCTCCTAACTGTGGGCAACTCTGAGGCCCTGCAGTGCCTGAAACCTCCAGGTACAGGAACAACGCCTCCATACTTTTGTTATCATGATATCAAGTATCCAAATCAGGGAGATCTTTGTTCTCTGTATTTGTAACTTTAAAGGTAAAGTATGACTCACCCTTACAGTACAACTGCCAGCCAGGTTACACAGTGAGTAAAAAAGTAAGGTTCAATCAGTTTTAGTTTTGTATTTATTTATTGATACTCTATTATTGTTAAAGTAATCTTTCTTAATTAAAAAATGCAGTTATAAGTCTCTGGAGATTTCCTGCTTTTCTTTGTCTTCTATCACATTGAACTGAACGGTTTAGACTGACACAACAAATCACTTACAGACATCACCTTTGCCATTTTTCACAATTCCTAAACCCTTACATTTCATAGATTGAAAAATAATCAATTAATCTAGGAAATAGTCATAATGTTAATTGTAGTAGTTAAGTACAGTGAGACTCCATTAACACTTTTAGGGGGAACCACCCAGGGGCACCGTAAGGGGGTGAAAAGTTAGGACGATTCTAAGGGCCCGCGATTGACAGGAGCCCAAACTATTTTAGAACATTAAGAAAAAAAAATGTAAGTAACCAATGTGATATCTTTTCATGGGGCCCAAAATCCCTGGCGGCGCCCCTGGAACCACCACCATATATAAACCCAATTGGGTGATTTTTACATGTTGTATTTAGTGTTGTCTTTGCAACAGATGTCTTTCAAATTAAAACAAAGCATGAATTAAAATACAAATTCTCCTAAAGCCCTGCAGATCCTCCTTCAGCCCCAGTCGGTGGCTCTTATATCCGGTCATAATCTTCGGCTGAGCTGCCTTGCTTCGGGCAGATCTCCAGTTCAGTACCAGTGGTTCAAGACCAAGGAAGAGGTGAGCTGCCACACCTCCTACCCATACACTAACAAGTTTAAAGGAAGGTGTTTTTGGATCAAATATGTGTGTCTTTCTTTGTTTTGTTTTTTGAAAGATGGCACTGTTTTGCCAAAGTCTGATCATTTTAATGCACAAACACAGACACGGATTCCTTCTGCATAATGTTCTCTGATCTTGAAAAATAACAAAAATCCTACAATGCACCTTGTGTATTCAACAAGATACACAGCCCTGGAAAAAATATATTTTGATAAATAGTTTAGAGCCAATGGGGGATGAAGACAAAAGACCTAATAGTAAATGCTAAAGAGGTAATTCATTTTTTTCAAGTTAGTAAACAGTCTTCATATTTTCCACAAACACAGGTACCAAACAGCTTCTCTGCGGACCTGGTGATAAGTCCAGTCCATCTGAAGGACGCTGGCTTTTACATATGCAGGGTCAACTCTGGAGATGCTTTTGAATTCAGCCGTTGGGCTCAGGTGGAAGTCATGGATGTCACTGTGTCTTGCGGTAAGATATTACACATGTTAAACTGCTGCTCTGTTTAAAACTATATTTTCCCAACAAGATTGTAGAGATTAAATACCAATAATGGCTCGTGTTCTTCTCCTATCAGGGCAGAGTTATCACTCCTTAGAGGGTCGGCTGAAGATGGTGATCCAGCCTCAGTCCCAGCGGCTATATGTAGGGGAGTCCCTGCAGCTGGAGTGTGGAGCGGTGGGACGGCCCATCCCTCGATACCAGTGGCACAGAAATGGCGTACCGCTCTCCAATGCCACAAAGAGGAAACTCATGGTGAGGAGAGGTTGTTAGGGAAGATTTATAGGTTAAGGGTTACTTAGGTTACTTTGTATTTATGTTTGGAGACTTTTTGTTCTGTTTAAAGTGAACAGACGGCAACATTTAGGCAGGAACATCTTTCTTTTTTATGGAACAAGGCTTTAATACGATACGATAATACTTTAATGGTCCGATCAAGTCTGAAATTTGAATCGCATCTCAGCAGCTCCATGTTAACCAAAAACATCTATGCATTTTAGATTCCTCACTCGATACAGGATCATAGCGGCAGGTATCGCTGTGAAATCAGCAGCAGCACAGAGAGAATGTGGTCCAACGAAGTGGACATAGTGATCGGTAAGTCACACTTCAGTACATTTTTTTAAGTTGAAATTACAGTCCTGTAAAACCAGCTCTACTGTTGTTATGTCTGTGTGCTTATTTGCTTTGCTCTTGACTGAAAGAACCGAGGATATCTGTCCAGATTTCAGTGGCAATGGAGTGCTCAGAAGGTAGATTTGAACATACTGCTGCATGGTGTAATGAACGGCAGGAGGGGAACTATTAGCAAGATTTTGCTGCATGCAAATGTAATTTGTTTACTTGTGTAACTGCATGTGGGTCATGATCTAGATTGTTTCCACATAAACACTAACCAGCACAAGGTATTATTCACACAGTGTGATCTCCTGGTTTCGAATGCATGCTTTTTTAATTTGACTAATGTCACTACTCTTACTCAAATCCATGCTAAACTATGGCTGTATTTTATATTTGTCTTATTTTCAAACAATCCCATGAAAAGACAAAAAACAACATGTTATCACTCTAACCTAATACTGAAGTATGATCTGTGTTTCAAAGCCAGATATAGCTCATTCCTCTTTGTCATTGCTGCCGGAAAACATTTTACTATAAAAACCACGTTACTGAGCCACGCTGTACCACAAGGTGGCATACAACTCTGATATAATTAACATTTAAACCATCCTGCTACTAAATAAGGCCCGGAGTACTGAGGCTTCTTCTAAAAGAAAATTATGTTTTAGTCACCTGAACATACATGTGTTCAGTAGAACTGAAAAATTGTTGGTTTTGTTGTATTTATGGGATTTCTTAACAGTAGGAAACCATAGAATCCCAGCCTGAAATGTTTTGCATCTTGATTGAGTGTAATGCTAACCTTACATGTAAATAATATATTTTTTAACAACAAGCACAAAATGAAAAGTTGATCAGCTATTTAATTGTAATATTATTGTATTTTTTGTATTTCTAGATGATGTTTTAACCATTGGAGAAGGTAAGAATAACTTTACTTTTAAAGGATTAATACATTTCTACTTATTCAAACACATCTTTTCCTTACACAGCTTTACTATGTTCAAATTGTGACATCTCAATTGTAGGTTCCAGTGCATTTTTCCTAAATAGTATCCCAGATCATCTTTATGGTAAGTGTCTGTTCATTTCATTGTGTTGGTGAATCATAAATATATGACCACTTTATTGTTAACCTGTTTTTTCCCTTACGTATTTTAGTGATTTATATGGCTGACGCACAGTTCCTCTGTATGTCAGCTTTGTAACTGTCTGATATCAGGACCTTTGTCAGTTCCTCCCTCAAAATAAACACCAAAGAAAAGATGTGAAACTTGCTTGCATGTCAGCAGCTACACAGGAAGCAAAAATGACACTTTACAACATATTAAAGTCACACAACAACAGAGAATATTACCTCTAAAATACCCGTAGAATAGTTTGAACAACATCTCACGGCATACTGTCACCAGAAAAAGAAAATCGCAGATATTAATATCATTGTGTTTGACATTCTGATAAATATTGCTTACATCCTGCCTGTATTTCTATGTAATTGTGTTTTTATAATTCATCACTTCCTTAACTATTGGTTTAAAGTGTCAGTGCTTTTACAGATCTTTATTGTTATCAAATTAGAATAAATTAGATTAGAAAATCAACATGTAGGCAGGAGGAAAAATCGACACTATCTGCTCCGACATTGATCACAAGTAAATCCTCTGCTTCTCTACATGGAGTCAGCCAGTGAAGTTGCTTTAGCAGGCTTTATTAAGTAGGCGGTTAAAAAAAAGGTTACAACCAGTACCTCCAACTGCTAACCGTGGGGCATTTTCTTTATTTTCAAGCAATAATTCGGTTAAATGTATTCAGTGTTGTGGAGGGACTAGTAATGTGTGACAGCATTATGTAATTAATTAATTATCTTGTGAGACGAAAAATCTAATTATATTACACTTTCTTGTAAAAATGTTGGTGTTCACAAAGGAGTTGTACAACATAACATTTATTTAGTTGCCTTGTTCAATCGTAATGCTAATTCTATTGAAGACCTTTGAATACAATTTTAAACAGTAAACAGTGTCGAGTACTGTTGTAAGGTGTACACTGCCCGGTTTAGGAATGCTGTGTCAATCTTAAAAGTAATCAAATGTAAAAAGTAACATTATTAAGTAACTAATAAGTAACCCTCCTGACACTGAATATATGTATAATGTGCATTTGGGTCATGGGGTTTATTGTAAGAAAGCCAAAATGCACAACCTGCAGTAAACTAGACATGACAATCATTGCAGTAAAAACTAAGCCCTTTTTCTTTTTACATTTTCTGTTCACTTGTTGGTTCGTTAAGGTGTTTTATTGATGCATATTGTTAGGGAATATTTCTTTCTTACTCCTAGAAGTTTAACCTTTTCTGTGTGTTGACGTTTATGACCAACCCTGAGTCTGTTATCTGTCTTAAGGAATGGGAAGTTGCAGCTATTGTTGATATTACCCGTTTTATGGCCTGACCTATCGGTCACAGAGGGTTTTATGACTGTGAGAACGCTGGCTTCTAAGCACTACAGATGAGTGATTCAGTATTTACAGATGTTGGAGATATCTCCAGTGTTCCCAGGTGTTTACGCACCATCCCCCAATATGTGGATGAACCCTCTGTAAACTAGTTAAAAGGTCTATCGAGAGAGAGGCTGGGCAGAATTGACATGGCAACCCACCAGTGCAGTCAGAATCTCTGGCTGTGTGACTTGTGATGTGAATTTCTCCGGCCGATAATTGTAATAAACACCAGTGTTTGACATCAAAGCTCCAACTCTCCTCGTGTCTCTCTGAGTCCTGACTCTCCATTGCTGCAGAAGTTTCCCTTACACATCTAACATATTTACGCACATGGAGGCACATAAATAAGCATATGCACACAGGGGAACTTTTTTTTTCATCTACTATACTAGACACACATATGCAGAGCAATAAGACACAAGCTCACACATGGGTGCATCAGTACAGAAGGAGAATCTGTAAGTACATACATGAATATAACATGCATGTGAGCAGTAAGATGTATCTTGCTTTGGTTATATCAGTGGGAATGAATGAATAAGGATGAGTCATATTTTACGTGGTGGATTAGGAGTCGTCGCCTCCAGATATGATGGATATTAGCCTCAACACTGAGCAGTTAAATGCTGTTTGTGCTTATTTAATTACTCTTTCAGCCATGTCCGTGTAAACAAGGTTTTTTCTTCAATCGAATAGGTGTGTTGGGTTTATCTTTTTATATCAATACATTAGTGTGGGTCAATATTAAAAGCTCTCTGAGTGCCATGATGACCAACATGCTTTTAAAGAGCGATTTTCACCGGGAATTGAAGAAACCTGGATTGTTGGGGGTGTGAAAATGTTACCATAAAAATACACTATTTGAAACAAAGGATTTTGAACTCACATAAGTAATGAGCATGTACACTATTTACCTACTTTAACATATTCTTCGGTGCCTTATTTTTCTGAAAATGTCTGTATTTTTAGATTAGAAATAGTCCGTATCTTCAAGAAAAACGGATGTATTGCGACAATCAGGTGGAGACATTGTGTTCTTTGGCTCAACGAATAAACCAATGTGGACGGCTTTCATGTCCTTGTTGTTGACTTTCGACTCTTGGGTAAATACAGGAAGTCTTTTTGTGAAGAGGCTGAGTGTGTAATGAGAGCTCTTAATTCTGTCTCTGCTGTCTCAAAGTCCAACAGATTCCACT